TAATTTTTTATTTAAAGTTGTAATTATTTTAATTAATTTAATATTTCAATTTAAAATACAATATTTATTTAAAAATACGTGAGAAGAAGTGTCTAATATCTATTATCTTAGCTAAAGAATGTGGACCAATATTTGGGCCGAATTCTTGTACCTATTTGTTTGCCCGACCCGTATAAAAGTGGATTATACAGATCCATATTTTTGGCCCGGCTAACATTTTATCTACTTGGGCCATTTATATTATTGTGTAGTATTTAAATTGAAAATAAAAAAATAGTAAATTCGAAAATCGATTCGCGAGTTTATGAACAATGAAAAATGAGATCAAGCTTCTTCTTGAATGAGTCGACTCGACTCATTTACTCTCCTACCATAGACAAGTTGGGTATTTATGTGTGAAAAATATGCAACAACATATTATTTGGTATATTTTTTCATAGATGTATCTAATAAAAAATATGTCGAAACTATTTGAAGTGAATGATTTTTGTAGACTCATATATTTCAGACTTCTATTGCTCAAAACTCGATCACATAGCTCAAAGGGTCTTATAACTCCGAAAAGTAGAGAATACAACGATGTTCGATATCACATTTATGATGTAGCAAAAGAGCAAAAATTCGTTCGCCGTCCTGCAAAATAGTTTGGAGTAGAACCATAAATATTGATCTACACATTAATACGTTGTACATTATAATCACTAGGTGACTTATTTAGTGACAACCCTCCGACTACCATCCTATGTCGAAGTCGAAATCAGGAATCAAAGTAGAGTAGAAAGCTTATAGAAAATCGACCCTAGAAAACGTGAATAAAAACTCACTTGCCTAGTTTGCAATCAATATGGCAAATAACCTAACTATTTTTCCATGGGTCTTTTTGTAAAGTTTTTAGTACATACATTGAATTTGAGCTTCATTTTAGTGTACTAATTCAATTTAAAGTTATATTTATAATTAGATACATTATGATAATCTCTTTCAATTTATATCTACAATTACCATTTTTTTAATTGACAAGAGATTCTGCAAACACTCAGAAGTGTATTAGGTAAAAAGTAGTATTGTGTAATAGCTTGCAAACTGGACGAGAAATATAAACAACACTAGACTAATTATGTGTGACAAATTTAATCTTAAAATTTTAGGGTAAATTACAAACACCCCCCTGAGGTATGGTCAAATTACAAAAACCCCCCTCTTGTTTGGATAATTACATCTACCCCCCTCAACTATGATTTTTTCTTAGACCTCCACCTTTATGGTGCCAAATTCAACATAGTCATCTATATTTCAAAAAATGTGCCATCCATATACATACCTTGATCAGCAA